AACTAATTTGACATAGCCATTGGCTGATTTAAAGTTAATTTTATGTTGGAAATTCGGTTTCGGAGACCCGGTTAACTAGGAAAAATCATCAAATATAAACCGATTTTGTGAATTAATATTAAAATCTTTTTGTGGAATCTTATTTTTTTTGCTCGTTTGAAAAATGTAATACTAATTGGCAACCTTCTTCTATACTCGCTAATAATTGATCAACCAATTTCATCAAACAGTTGCAGCGACACTTGCATTGCAAGATTACATGGAGGCTGCAGCAGTTGTGTTCTTATTCACCATAGCCGAATGGCTTGAAACAAGAGCTAGTTACAAGGTTTGTCAACTACTAATACTCATCTATTGTGTTAATTAAACAACTGTGAAACATCTTGCATTTTCTTATGTATTATCTGAAGTTGGAAACTGTATTGGACTACTAATTTAAGAAAGCTGAGATAATAATGATTATAACATTTGAAATCTCAGGCAACCGCGGTAATGCAGTCACTGATGAGCTTAGCTCCACAGAAGGCAATAATAGCAGAGACTGGAGAAGAAGTTGAAGTAGATGAGGTTAAGGTTAACACAATTGTAGCAGTCAAAGCCGGTGAAACCATACCTATTGATGGGATTGTGGTGGATGGAAATTGTGAAGTAGACGAGAAAACCTTAACGGGAGAAGCATATCCTGTTCCTAAACAGAGAGATTCTACTGTTTGGGCTGGAACCATCAATCTAAATGGTAATGTAACCCTCTTACACAAGGCTCCAAGATTTAATCATTTGTTTGTATCTTTCACTGTTTTGATCTTTTTTTAATGTGTGTCTTGCAGGTTACGTAAGTGTGAAAACAACTGCTTTAGCCAGTGATTGCGTGGTTACAAAGATGGCTAAGCTCGTGGAAGAAGCTCAGAGCAGTAAAACCAAATCTCAAAGACTAATAGACAAATGTTCTCAGTACTATACTCCAGGTAAGAAAAGACATAACCAGAACTTGTTTTTCAGGTATTCTTTATGTTCTTGATTCATGAGACTCTATGTTTCATTCATGTTTCTTTCAGCAATCCTCTTAGTATCAGCTGGCTTTGCGGTTGTCCCAGCTATAATGAAAGTACACAACCTCAACCATTGGTTTCATTTGGCACTTGTTGTGTTAGTCAGTGCATGTCCCTGTGGTCTTATCCTCTCTACACCAGTTGCTACTTTCTGTGCGCTTACTAAAGCGGCTACTTCAGGGCTTCTAATCAAAAGTGCTGATTATCTTGACACTCTCTCAAAGATAAAGATCGCTGCATTCGACAAAACTGGGACTATTACCAGAGGAGAGTTCATTGTCATTGAGTTCAGATCACTCTCTAGAGATATAAGCCTACACAGCTTGATTTACTGGTACAAGACAGATTTGTGTTCTAACCAACAAAACTAGTTTGATTAAATAAATTATGACTGAGAGTTTATGGTTCTACAATGTTTCAGGGTATCAAGTGTTGAAAGCAAATCAAGTCATCCAATGGCGGCAACTATTGTGGACTATGCAAGATCTGTTAACGTTGAGCCTAGGACTGAAGAAGTTGAGGATTACCAGAATTTTCCAGGTGAAGGAATCTATGGGAAGATTGATGGGAATGATATCTACATTGGGAACAAAAGGATTGCTTCACGAGCTAATTCTTCTACAGGTAAAGCTTCAAACTCAGTGGAATGTTTTGAGGTCTTGTTGAGTTTGATTCACTTGACTGTTGTTTCTTGCCAGTTCCAGAGATTGAGGTTGATACCAAAGGAGGAAAGACTGTTGGATACGTCTATGTAGGTGAAAGACTAGCTGGAGTTTTCAATCTTTCTGATGCTTGTAGATCTGGTGTAGCTCAAGCAATGAAGGAACTGAAAGATCTTGGAATCAAAACGGCAATGCTAACAGGAGATAATCAAGATGCAGCAATGCATGCTCAAGAACAGGTGAGAGACTAAAAACAACTTTCTTAATACATGATTATAAACTTTAAAATATTTTTTTTGGTATGAAACAGTTAGGAAATGCTTTGGATGTTGTGCATGGAGAACTTCTTCCAGAAGACAAATCCAAAATCATACTAGAGTTTAAGAAAGAAGGTCCAACAGCTATGGTAGGAGATGGTGTGAATGATGCACCAGCTTTAGCTACAGCTGATATTGGTATCTCCATGGGGATCTCTGGCTCTGCTCTTGCAACACAGACTGGTCATATCATTTTGATGTCTAATGATATCAGAAGGATACCACAGGCGATAAGGCTAGCGAGGAGAGCGCGGCGCAAAGTTGTCGAAAACTTGTTCATATCAATCACTTTGAAAGTAGGGATACTGATTTTGGCATTTACTGGTCATCCTTTGATTTGGGCTGCAGTACTAGCTGATGTGGGGACTTGTCTGCTTGTGATTCTCAACAGTATGTTGTTGCTGCGAGAGAAGGACAAAACCAAGAACAAAAAGTGTTACAGGGCTTCTACATCTGTGTTGAATGGTAAAAAACTTGAAGGCGATGCAGACGAAGAGCTGGACTTAGAGGCAGGCTTGTTATCAAAGAGTGGTCAATGCAACTCAGGATGTTGTGGTGATAAGAAAAAACAAGAGAAGGTGAAACCAAAATCAAGTTCTGACCATAGACACTCTGGTTGTTGTGGTGATAAGCAGCAAGACAATGTAAAGCTGCTTGTGAAAGAGAGCTGTTGCGGTGAGAAAAGTAAGATAGTAGTGAGAGATATGGCTTCATTGAGCTCATGCAAGAAGTCTACCCATGTCAAAAAAGACATGATAATGAAAGGTGGTTCAGGTTGTTGTGATAAGAAGAAAGATACGCTGAAGGAAATAGTGGCAAAGAGCTGTTGTGAGCAGAAGGAGAAAGCAGAGAAAAATGTTGAGATGCAGATTCTTGGCCAAGAGTTAATTGATTTGGAGAAAGGTCTTCATAAAAAGTCTGGTTGCTGCAGTGATGGACACAAACAAACCGAGGAAATAACTATGGCTTCTGAGGAAGAGAAAGAGAGTCTGGATTGTTCCTCAGGAAGCTGCGAGAACAAGACCACCATGAAAGGTCTAGAAGGAGAAGTGAAAGAGAAATTTGATCTCCAGATAAAGAATGAAGGACATTGCAAGTCTAATTTCTGTGGTGATGAAAAGCAAACCGGAGAAATCACTCTGGCTTGTGAGGAAGAGACAGACGGTTCTGATTGCTCCTCGGGATGCTGCGTAAACAAGGAGGAAGTGGAACAAAGCTGCCATGAGAAGGCATGTCTGGAAACTGAAACTGGTGTAAGTTGTGACCTCAACTTGGTTTGTTGTGGAAACTCAGAAGGAGAAATGAGAGGCTTGCAGATGAAGAACGAAGAACAATGCAAGTCTGAGTGCTGCAGCGATGAAAAACAAACGGGGGAAATAACTCTGGCCTCAGGATGCTGTGGAAACAAGGAGGAAGTGACACAAACCTGTCATGAGAAGCCTGTAAGCAAATCTCTTTGCTGTGGAACTGGTTTGAAGGAAGATGAGTCTTCTAGTTTGGTAAATGTGGTGGAGTGTGGTAGCAAAGAGAGGGAGATAGTGAAAGCTTTTAGCCAAAGCTGCTGCACAAGTCCTACTGATCCGGTGTTATCTGAATTGCAAGTGAAGAAGGTAAAGATTTGTTGTAAAGTGAATACTCCAGAGGCGGCGTGTGGATCAAAGTGTAGTGAAAGGGTGAAGCGTCACACTGGTAAAAGCTGTTGCAGGAGTTATGCCAAGGAATATTGCAGCCACATGCATCACAACCATCATCACCATCATCACCATGTTGGGGCTGTTTAACGGAGATTGTGACAGAGTGGCCTTGAATCTCGATGCATCCATCTATTCACATAACCTTGCTTCTTCCACTAGTGCCGTCCAGAAAATTCAAAAAATGTTTTATTGTTTCCAGGAAAGGCTAGATTTAGCAACTGTGGTTCATCAAGAACATTTTTAGTGATCCTTGTGTTGCCTGAAGTATTTCTCGTTTTTGTATTTTTGTTATGTAACTCGATCGGTTCTTTTAACTCGTAGGAACAAACAAGTTTGGAACTTTATCTTAGGGTCTTGAAAGATGAAAACAGTATCAAAGTGAGCGTTACAATCATTAGTATGTAAGTATTTTCTTTTGGTTTCCAAGTAGTTGGCTTAGCTGTGAAAGGAGAGAGCCATTCATGTCATACTAATATGATTCTTCATTGATCGATGAGATATAAGGATACTGATAATACGAAAAATAATCTTTTGATATAAGCGCTGATGGTGAAGAGAGTCCATTTCCACAAAACAGTTCCTGGCTCTAGTGTTAGTGATCAAAGCTGCCTAAATCTTCATCAGCTAGAGCTGATACATTTCCCATCACTTTTTAAGTAATGAGTCTTAAGACCTTTAAAAAAAAACAAGCATATTAATCAAACAAAACTACTGTGTGAGAGAAAAAGAGAGAGAAACCATACCAACATTAGAGCACAATCAACCCTAGAAGGCTAAAACCATAAAAAAGTTTTTAAGAATTTTTTTTTTGGCTAAAACAAAAAAAAAATAAAATAAAAAATGAACCATTTGCGGATCGTTACGTATTAGTGGAGTGGAGCCCGCAAAATAATACAAGATTTGGATCTTATTTCAACAATCTGGCATCCACTTCTTAGAATTTCGACGGGCCCCATCGCCAACGTTTTGGTAAAAACCAAACAAGATTTGGGCGTTCATGCTCTAAGCTCTTCTTACATGGATAAGAACAATGTTTATCCTTGGGATATCTGCAGCAAAGCCAACACAGTGACCGGAATTGAAGCATGTTCTTAACCTGAAACGTATCTACAGTGTTAATATTCACCTCTTTCGTCAGGCCAGGCACAAAAATTGTATGGGCCTTGTGCAAAATAATATATAAACAAAAATATGGTCTGTTAATTAGTTTTGTGAAATATTAGATCCTATTTTACAAATTTTCATAAGTTTTGGGTTCCAAAATAAAAAAAGGAAAATTAATTAACAGGGCAGGACTCAATGCAAATGCGCTGATCCGCACACCCTTAGAACCAGCACTACTTTTGATTCATCTTGGTCCAAAGCATTGTTAGAGAATTAATCATCTTTTTGCGTTCTTTCAAATTGTAAATTTTGATATATCATTTATTTTATAAAATTCAGTTATTAAATAGGTTTCCAATGTTAAACATTGTTCAAGCGGTCCATATCAAATAGGATAAGTGTAGATCATGCATATTAAGTGAGATAATATAGATTAAGCAAATCACATATTTTATTACAGTTTTAAAAAGTAAAATCAGTTCAAATAAAAAAATTACATATTTAAATAATAAAATTTCGTTACAAAATCAAAACACATAATATATAAATATGATACATCAATAACAAGAAATATTGCACTTGATCCAAGTTAATACAACAGTATATTCACATAATACATATTATAATTAAACCACACATATTATATAAATATAATAATTTAAATAGATAAACAAATTATATGACAAAAAGGAGATAATTTGCATCAAATGTATAGTGGGTGAGATCTGTATGTAGTTCTCGTGCTTTTTTGGCTTCGGATAAGTGACACAGATCAGAAAATGTACATCTACAATCAAATATTCTAAAGGGATGAATTGTTCTAAGAATATGTTATAGTCTTCGTAGAGTTAAACTTTTAAATAATCGAATATACGATGGAATCTAAGAACATGAGAGCAACACAATAAAGAAGTGGGATCAGAGTGCGTGCTGGTGGCTAAGAGCAAGAAATTAATTGTATAGCATGTAGGATTATATGTGTATATTCATTCTGTGTGAGCCGTTGACTTGACCTCGTATGGGTCGTTCATTTGATAACACTATTATACGTTCGACTTTAGCTGTTTTTCTGTTGTATCGAGTAATCAGTTGTAAAACCTCTGCATGTAAAAATTTAAAGCTAAAATGTCCTCATATTTTTCTTTTAATTTTATATGTTAAATGAAAAATCATAAAATTAAACTGGAAACGTCAATATTTTTTATTTGATTTATAAAATTTGATAAAAATATTTCAAAAATCGAAAAACTGTTTTTTCATATTTTTGCGAAAATCATTAAAATATGATTAAAAATGATTTTAAAATATTTTTTTTCGAATTTGAAAGATATAGAATTTAAATATTTTCCCATGGATTCACTGATTCATAGAGGAGTTTTTGTTTAGTTTTGATCGTTCGGGAATGATTTATTTAAAATTTTAATTAAATAGTAAAGGATATGAAGATTAGTAAAAAATATAAGTGATTTAATTTTTTTGTCCGGGAATGATTTATTTGAAATTTTAATTAAATGGTAAAAGAAATGAAGATTAGTAAAGAGTATAAGTGATTTAATTTTTTTGCTGAAGGGCGTGTGAGCATTTGACTCGTTCGTATCAAGACAATATGGTAAGTTGGTAACACTATTGTGTTTATATGTAAAGTTTTATTAAAATTTTGGATAATATCATCATTTGTTTTAAATATTCGTGGGATTTTGTCTTTTCTGTCATGGTTGAAAAAACAAAGACAAACAATGCTATTTAAAACGTCTCAACTACTAGTTTTTACTTGCTTACAGAAAAGAAATTACTAGTAGTTTTTTGATTTCTGGTTATGGTTTCTCTACAACTAAAATATCTGAATCTACGATGAAAAATAGGGTTTACACGTCTGAATCTGAACATATAGTAGTATTTGTTTACATATAAGCCCGTTTATACTAAAACCGAATTTAATAATTCACGAGTTAATAAAAAACATAAAAAGCGGTAGAGGTCAATGTCCACTTGTTTAAGAAAATGGACTATTAAGCAACCTTATTGGACTATTTAACTCATGGGGTTTTCAAAATATATATAGTTATATATATATATTAATATTACTATTTAATTATGGTATTCTTAAAATTACGGAGAATCTCATCAAAAATATCTCATTTTAAATATTTTTGGTTGGGTTCTCTGTAGTTTTAAGGACTCCACAATTAAATCATAATATTAATATATACATACAACTATATGTATTTTGAAATCTCTAAAAATTAACCATTGGAGATGCTTTGTAAACAATCCACACAAAAAAATCTGTTAATACAACTTATCTAGATACTTTTTGAAACAAGTACAACTTGTCTGGATATGCTTTGGAAAATAACCCAATTATAAAGATAAAAACAAAAAAACAAAAAAAAAACAGGGTGAAAACACACACATGCTAATGTGTTTACAGACTTGAATATGATTATGTGTTTTTTTAAATTTGATGTTTATACAATGGTTATTTTGGGTATATTCAGTCAGAATGTTTTTATTTATGTTATAGACATATCAAACAAGTACCCCAAAACATTACCTCTTACTAAAAACAGTATTTTTTAAAAATATTTATAACTGTTCTTAAAAATTTATTCAAATTATTTAATTCAGTTATTTACCTATTTTCTATTAAAATATTAAGAGAATATACTAGTCTACCTAGGGATGTCAGTTAGATTGCCCCGACCGATTTAAAATCTCCAAAACCCGTAAATATTTGAACTTGACCCAGTCAGAAAAGATTTTGCATGTATATTCTAAAACCATATCCGATCCTAATAAGGTTATAAGACGTTTCAGGATTTTTGAGATTTCTCAGAATAAATAACTATTGTTATAATTCTATTTGATTATATCATTTTACTTTATGTTAATTTATATATAGATTTAGTGTTGTGCATATATATGTATAAGAAACAAGAACATAAGAAACATACTAAAATGTAGGAGGAGAATATAATTAATATAGATCAGAAGGGCATCATAGAATGATCGCACTACATCTTTTTATATAGACAAGATATCAGACAAATAAAACTATGGTACATTATGACATGGGCTCCATATCCATGGCTATACGCTTGTGTATCTTGACTTTTGTAATACTCACCCTTAGAAATCATTGTCACTTATGTCTTTTGTTGTTCATCTTGACTTTTGTAACATGTGACCATCTACTCGACGCGTCGATCATTACCATAAAATAATAGAATGATCCAAAAGGTGGATGTATAGGTCCACAAGTATCACCTTGAATTCGTTCAAGGAACTTTGGTAACTCTTTATCTATTTTGGTTGGCGATGGTCTTATAATTAACTTTCCTAAAGAACACACCATACATGTAATTTTATTTCCCTGGTAAACTTCTTGGGGTTTTAGTGAATGACCATGTGAGTTCTCGATGATCTTTCGCATCATTGTGGTGTCTGGATGACCAAGTCGATCATGCCATAGTGTAAAATCATCAGAATTTCTCTTAATCACCAAATGTGATTCGATGGTACTTATATATGTTTGATGCAAACCAGAAGGAAGTTTTAGTAGTTTTTCCAACACCTTTTGCTTTTCCGAATAAGAGTAATATACATATATTTCTTTCCATTCTTAGTTTCAGAATGAATATCAAATCCTTGAGAATATATGTCATTAAAACTCAAAAAATTCCTCTTAGAATTTGGAGAAAATAGTGCATTATTTATCGAGAAAATTATTCCATTAGGTAATGTGAAATGGGCTTTACCAGTCTCTTCAATCAAGTCTACATGACTCGATATTATGTTAACTATGATATTTGTTGGTTTAAGTTCAGAAAAATATTTTCTGTGTTTAATAATAGTGTGCGTTGTTCCACTATCTGATATACAAATCTCTCTAGCATTGATCTTGGTTGATGCTCCATTTGTAATGTCCATGTCTGAGACAACAAAAAAAAAATTAACAGAAATAAGATAATCTTATTTATAAAATATTATACATCATTAGCGAACATCAAACATGTAGTAATTATACATAAACATATAAAAATCACACAATAATTATACATTAATTTTCCTCAAACAATATTATTTATGGTATATTTGTGGAATTTCAAGAGTCACATGATGGGTACTTAATCTTCTGTGATAGCAGTCTCCTCGAAATCATTCACAAAGTCAGACGCATCCAGGTGCGTTGTACCCTCAGAAGTTTCCGCAAAGTTAACCTCTTTACATTTTCCTTTGACGGAATATTTGTATAAAGCACATAGATGTGCAGGGGTACGACATACACGGGACCAGTGTCCCTTAGTACCGCATCTGAAACAAGTTTTTTTCTCGCTTCTGAGAAGTATTTCCTTGGTGTTCTTTTTCCTTAGGGGATTGCTTAGAGCAGACTCATTGGAATGACTTTCTATCATGTGGATTGTACTTTCGTCCACGTCCACAGTAGTTTTGTTGACCACGACCACGAAGAGTTTTATTTTCTTTCACTGGTTTCTTTGCGTCTAAAGCGTTTGCTTCGGCAAGCACTTTGGAACCAGTTGGTAGTGTCATATGATTCTTGATCAGAAGTTTGTTGTTCTTTTCTACTATGAGAAGCACCACAATCAAATCCGAAAATTTGGTATATCCTCGCAACCTATATTGTTGTTACAGGGTAATGTGGCTCTTATGGAATGTGGTGTATGTTTTCTCAAGCATTTGAGACTCGGTGATTGTTTCTCCACATCATCTCAATTTAGCCACAATTTCTAACACACAACAAAATTGTAATTCATCACTTTGTCGAAATCTTGGAACCTCATATTCTGCCATTTATCTCAAGCAAGTGGAAGTGTTATGTCTTTCTGATGATCAAAACGATCTTTCAGAGACTTACATAGCTCTTTAGGATCTCTCGTGTTGGCATAGTCATAAATAATATTTTCATCAAGGTGTCTTCTGAGGAAGATCACTGATTTAGCCTTTTCTTGAGGCGTTGAAGTATTATTCTCTTTAACGGTTTCAGATAAACCAAGAGATTCAAGGTGGAGTGCGACATTGGTAATCCAAGAAATGTAGTTGGTCCCGGTGATATCCAGAGCGGGAAATTGGAGTTTCTCCATGTTTGCCATTGATTTTCTAAGGCACAAAATAATAAACTTCATTAGAATTTCATTAATTTTAAATGGAACCGATTACATTGATACTACACGCAATTACAAATAAACCTAATGCTAATAAACATAAGGCAATATTAGTTCCAAAATCTTCATGAGTAGCTCCTTCAACAAGAATAAAATACATAGACGAATAAATAAAAATCGCACATAAAATTAAAAGCAATCGAATCTTTTTTTTTTTTTGTAAATTTAAGAAGAACAATTTGTAGATATTTTAGAGAAGAAGAAATGTTTTGGATGAGAGAACGGAGTGAAAATGAGTTGTTTTTATAGATGAAAACACTGTTTATTAGCCATTAACTAGCCATTTAAAAGGTATTTTTTTATTTAAATTTATTTACGAGCGTTGGATGTAGAAACATAAAATAAAATTAAATAGAAATACTTAGTGAGAAATTATCAAATTTATCAGTTTAAACATATATATATATATATAAATATAGGTGAAATATTAAATATATTTAATTATATATATGGTGATAAAATTATCTATAAGGTTTTCAAAGTGGAAATATTAAGGTGATGATCAGAATAATAAATTATGATAAAAGAGTTATATATTATGGTGCCTTAAGCAACCATTATAAAAACTATACTCCATTTGTTTCATTATAAGTGTCACTTTACAGCTGTGCACACGGATTAAGGAAACAATTAATTTTACATATTTCCTATATAAAAACACAGTTACCTATACACCTAACCATATTTTAACCAATAGAAAAACAAATTACAAAATAAAATTAATAAATTTTGCATTGAAAACCGAAAACGACACTTATTTTGTAACGCAAAAAATTCTCTACAACGACACTTAATATGAAACAGAGGGAGTAATAAAATTCGGGGCGGCAGAGCCGCGCTCCGGTAACTATAAAACTAATGGATAAAAATAGGGCAACAGTGATGCACTCCGATAAACATAAACATAACAAATATATGGAGGCCCCACTCCGAACATAATAATCAAAAGTAAATTTTAATAATAGAGTGATCGTGCTGATAACGTGTTATAATTATATTTGATTATATCAGTTTACTTTATGTTAATTTATATATATATATATATATATTTGGTGGTGTGAATATAACGTATATTATGTATATGTATAAGAAAATAAGAACATAATAAGCATACCAAAATGTAGGAGGAGAATATTATTAATATAGATCAGAAAGAGCATCGTAAAATGATCGCACCACATCTTCTTATATAGACTAGATATCGATAAGTAAACTGTGGTACATTATGACATGAGCTTCATATTTATCGCTATACGTTTGTGTTTCCTGACTTTTGTAACAACTATAGTGTTATATATATTACTCTCACTATTTTAAATCATCTAAGTTTCATAAAAATTGGTTTTAACTATTCTTTTTCAAATATAAAGTCAGTTTAATTTTCTTTTAACAAGAAAGTTTTAAGATATTTAAAATCATATTACATATGAACAAATAAAATTTTAACATGAAATGTAAATAAAAACTACGTATATAAGAGAACAAAATTTGTGTTAAACGCAGTCAAACGTTCCACACTTTATATTTTTCAGAAGAAGACACATTTCTCAAATTTATAATGTGACTTTTGTAATAATCAAACGGTAAGGTACATTCATATTTTCCACATTTGATTTTACTAGTCTTAGATGATAAATATTAAAATATGTGAGTATCAAAAATGTCTCTAATTGCAAGAATGGTATTTTAAAAATTAATAAGTAAAATTTTAATTTTTTCAGGTTGGACTTAGCCCAATTAGAACTAAGCTTAAAAATCTAAAGCATAAAATAGGTTAATTTGTCCGTTGTTTAGATATATATATATAACGAAGTCTAAACCCGATAATTTATAGCGTTAGACAGTCAGACGGGTTAAAGCTCCAGCCCCATCTATAAATATATGATACAAAAATTTATTTCTGGCATGATACATTTATATATTTCCATTTAAATGTTTGCACATATTATTTTCCTGAATTAGCTAGAAACAATCAAATACATTCCCTGGAACAATAATGATATTTTTTTTTGTTAGCTACATTGGTTTTCTAGTACCCTAAAATAAAATTAAGAGTTTAAGACTTTAGACTTTTGTATATACTATAAACATATAAATTGTAAAATATTATGTTAGAATTTGGTGAAGAGAAAACAAGTACTCACCTGTAATGAAAGATCAGTTTAAGAACATGATTATTGGGATTTCTTAATAGGTTTCTTAGGGAGTCTTTATTGCGTGGATCCCATGAACAATATAAGAATCAGTTACAAAAACTATGAATTAAGAACTGATTTTTAAGGGTTTCTTGCACTGTTCGCGGACTACACAGACACGTGGCGACTTGCGATTGATTTGTTTTTAAAAAAAAATGTTTTTCTTTTTAAGATAAAAGAAAAAAAACTTAAGAAACCCAAGTTGGTTTTAGGGATAATGATGCCAAAATGACCAACCAATAAATATGTGACTTACAAAGATGAAGATAAAACATAACCAAACCTAATAATCGATTGGATTCATAATCAAATTAGTTGATTATTTTGTTAGACATCAATAAAAAAATCCTATATAATTTATGAATGAGAAAATGACTAAAATAGACCTAAAAAAGTTTTTATCACAAATATAGACCTTAACAATTAAAATAACCAAAATAACACTTAAATGTTTTATTAAATATATATTTATACCCTTAGGTTAACTAATCCTATATTTTTTTGTTTAGAGTTAAGGAGTGTGGTTTTGGGGATATGGTTTCGAATTTAAAAAAATTAAAAAAACTTAAATTTTCAAAATAAAAAATGCTATTTTGGTTATTTTAATTTGTGAGGTCTATTTTTGTGATAAAAACTTAAAAGAGGGCTATTTGAGAGAATTGCTCTTTACGAATATATAAAATATATAAACCAATAATAGTCTGAAAATAATCAATTTTTGTTTTCTAAACCCAAAATACACGGAACATAACTGAACCAAGAAACCAAATGTCCGGTCCGGTACATAGGCATGAGGGTTTTGAAAGACACGCGGTCTCATGTCGCGTGATTTATTTTAGTATACAATTACAAGTAGCCAATTATAAAATTACACGTGACATTGACTATAAAACATCATAACTATTGTCAAAATAAATAAAGTGCCTCGACCTCTCCTGTTTTCGAAGCGAAGAGACAGACGGACTTGTTCTTCGACATCGTCTGTCTTCTTTGGTGTACAGAGTCCATACCATACATACCTTCCTTTTATAAAGAGAGAGCGAGAGACATAGACAGAGAAACAGAGCGATCAGAAGAAACGACATCTTCGAAAGAGGGAACCTTTTGTTTAAAATTAAAATTAAACAGAAGGAAACGTTTGACGGCTTGCATAGACATCCATACGCATACTCCGAGAGATTTATATACTTTTCTCCGAGCCTGCAGCTCTCACTTGTTCGTTCGTGCGTTCGCCAAGAGTTGAGATCTTTTGTCGGAAACAAACAAGCTCGCTCTCTGTGTGATCCGTCGCCGTTTTGATCCAGGTTTCATTTTCGATTCTTTTTTTTTTTTTAATTAAAAGGAGACCAGATTTGGTTTCTGATTTGTTCGATTTCGTTTTGATGTTGTTTCTTCACAAGCATTTTTGTGGTAATGATTTGAGTGAGATGTAATGCGCGTGAATGATTGGTGTGTATTAGAAGCTGTGACGATGGTTTTTGACTTTTCTTTGGTTATGGATATAGCATTGACTTTTTGTTCTTGGTACTAATTTGAATTTGTCAATGTTTCTTCTTGTCGATATGTTTGATTATTCCATCCTTCTGTTGGATAATTCACCTGCCAGATAGGAACAGGTGAAGCTGTGTGTGCTTCTCTTCAGGATAGGAACATAACTTAGAGATATTCTCTTCACCAAGAATCTGTATTTGTTTGGGTTTCTTTTTATTTTGTTATTTGTCCAGTTTGGGATAGTTTGAAGGATATACATACTAGAGAAGAGACTATCTTATTTTAGTTTTTGCTCTGGTTTAGTGTATAAGGTTGCATCTTCTGCAGTTATGTTCTTCCACGTTTCTATATGGGTTCTTTTGTGTTTTTGTCTGTTTGGATTTCTGATATTAATAAATGTTGTTATATGTATGGTGTGAATCAAACATTATATTCAAGAGTAAGGATAAACTAGAGAGACTATCTTTATTTAGATCTTGATTTGCATCTTGTGCACTTATGCTGTTCTCCGTTTCTCTTTTTGTTTGCTTGTGTTTTGGTCTGAATGTTTCTTTTTTTATATTTACCTTTAGGTTTGATTGGTTCAAGCTGCCAAGTGGAACTTTCTCTTGTAGCTGAAGAAGCTTGTTCCTCCAGATTTGAACAAAGAATATTTGAGGCTGAGTAGTTGTAGTATGCAATAAAGTTTTCTCTCGTTTTTTTTTTGACAAGATGAAGGCAACTAAAGGGTGGCGTCTATGCGGAACAAGTTATATGCAGTCTTTGCCTGGTGCTCGTCACCGTGCTCCTACAAGGAAGCGTGTGTGGACCATCGCTGTGGTTTCTCTGATAACAATGTTTGTAATTGGGGCTTACGTTTTCCCTCATCACAGGAGAGCTGCTTGTTATATGTTTTCTTCTAAAGGATGCAAAGGGCTTACTGATTGGCTTCCACCCGCGCCGAGGGAGCTTTCTGATGACGAGGTTGCAGCTCGTGTAGTGATTAGGGAAATCTTGAGCTCTCCTCGTGTGATTAAAAAGACTTCTAAGATTGCGTTTATGTTCTTGACTCCGGGGACTTTGCCTTTTGAAAAGCTATGGGACCTCTTTTTCCAGGTAAACTTCATCTTGTGTCAGAGGTTTAACTCTGTGTAGTATTTGGTCTACCTAGTTGAATGCAGAATACTTATGATTACTTGTAATATGTTTAGTATCTATACGTTTTTTTTGACACATAGTATCTCTACGTTTATATGATTATTTCTTCTACTTATTTCTTTCACTGACGATTTGGTGCTTTTATCCCTCCTCACAGGGTCACGAGGGGAAATTTTCTGTGTATATTCATGCATCAAAGGATACGCCGGTTCACACCAGTCGTTACTTTCTTAACCGTGAAATTCGAAGTGATGAGGTCTGTCTCTCTTTCTCTCTCTAATGTCTATATTTGTAGATATATTGTCATCTCTCTCTGTATGTTCTAGAATGACTAATTATGAATTCATCTTATTTCTGTATTAGTTTTCATAATTGTGGTAAAATAATCATATGTTTTTTTGTGAAGGTGGTATGGGGTAGAATATCAATGATTGACGCTGAGAGACGTTTGTTGACAAGTGCTCTTAGAGATCCGGAAAATCAGCAATTTGTTTTACTCTCCGATAGGTAATCTCCAAGACCACTATTTATCTTCTCACTGATTATTCTGAGCTTGTCCTAACCAAATTGAGAGTGTTTTTTTTCTCTGCAGTTGTGTGCCGCTTCGAAGTTTTGACTACATGTACAACTATATGATGTACAGCAATGTCAGCAATGTTGATTGGTAAAGTCATTTGTTCAACTTGCTGCAGTTTCAGAACTTTAATTACACATGTTTCCAGATTTCTTCCTGAGTTCTATACTAATATATTTTTGTCATACTCTTCAGCTTTGACGATCCTGGTCCACATGGAATCGGCAGGCATATGGATCACATGTTGCCCGTGATTCCAAAAGAAGATTTTAGAAAGGGTTCACAGGTAAACTACTATTTCTCTGATCCAGTGTCATGGTTGCCTCATAGTCTCGCGCTAGATTATTTAAATACAAAGACTTAGATGTAACGAATGAGTTCTGTGTCATTGTTGAATTTGGTTGGTATGACCAAAGTAGAACTCTTTGTGGACTAGTTATGGCAATGCACCATCTTACATTGCTAGGGATGAATTGGTACCACCTAGTATTAATATGCATGGCAGCATGAGAGAGAGTTAATCATCTGCATATTTGGTTTCATTCGTATTCCTTGAGAAGGATTTTTCTCTAGTGACAAACAAATGTATGAGAGTTTTTTAATCATTTTTTATGGCCTACGGCAACTATATCTCTATATCCCTGCAGTGGTTCTCCATGACGCGTCAGCATGCTGTCATGACTATGGCAGACAGTCTATACTACTCAAAGTTCCGTGACTACTGTGGGGTGAGTACGACATTACCGTCAAAATCACATGTTCCTTACTTTCTTTACTCAATTTTATGTAGACGTTAATAGGAAGGTTCTTGTTATTTTCTGCAGCCAGGTGTAGAGAGTAACAAGAACTGCATTGCAGATGAACACTACCTGCCAACATTCTTCTATGTGAGAATGTGTTCTGACTCTTTTAGCTTAAAAAAAAATGTACACTCTTTTGTATTTTCTTTATCTATAATCTAATACTTTGGTGTGATATATCTCTCAGATGCTTGATCCTGGTGGCATTGCTAACTGGACTCTTACATATGTTGATTGGTCTGAGGGAAAGTGGCATCCAAGAACATTCATGCCTGAACATGTCACACAAGAGTTACTTAAAAACCTCACGGTATTGGTCTCTTCAAAATCTTAACTGACTATTCCTTTCCTTGCTTCCATTGAAATATGTAAATTGGTATACCTTTTGCAGTCCATCGACGCTGTTTCACGCGTAACAAGTGAAGGAACGGTACACGCTCTAAAACCAATTCATCTTCACTTGTAATCAGTTCTACATCTACCGTTTTTTTCTCTTTACCGAGATTATAATGCGATTTTTTTTTTTTACACAGGGAATAGTAACATGGACACAATGCATGTGGAACGGAATCAAAAGACCTTGCTATCTCTTTGGAAGGAAGTTCCACGCAGATACCCTGGATAAACTGATGGATCTCTTTCCAAAATACACGAGTGGTTTTGATTGATCGATGCAAAGCAAAGGAGGTATTATTTTGACTCGGATTCTTTGATCAACGTCCCATTACATTCTAAGGAACCAAGTTTTAAACTTGGAGGATCCCCTAGAAGATGTAACCCGCTGCAAAGTCCCTTTTAGAGCATAGAAAAAGCGTTGTGATCTTGAGAAGCATAGGAAGTGTTTTGAGGGTTTTTCATTTGGTTGGGGACGTTGGGACATTTTTAACTAAACTGTTTACTACATTTCATTGTTAATCTTTTCTGAGTGATTTTGTTTTCCTCCTTTTGTTGAAATTGCTATTAAGCATTTTTCTTTTGCTTAGACAAAATTCTCTAGAACTACATTCTTATTAATGCATATTACAAAACAAAAATTAGCTGAAGCTCCAATGTCTGGATACCTCTTCATCAGAAACTCAGACTATTCCTTTTTTCTTGAACAAATTCAATTGAAAATAAGCTATGGGCATTTGGTATGAGTAAAACTCAATCGGGTAAATGAATTATATATCCATATAGGTACCTAGTAGACCTTGGTTACTGGTTCTGAATTGCTTATGCGTACCCGTTCAATATCTAAATTATATTTACAATAGGAAAGAGTTTAGATCAATCCGTATTTGAATTCCCCCAGTGTCAATTTTATAAAATATAGTTGCCTCTTTGTTCGGTCAAATGCTCTCAAATGTTCTTAAAGAGATTTTTTTTGCCAGTTGTGTGCCACTTCGAAGTTTTGATTACATGTACAACTATATGATGTACAGCAATGTCAGCAATGTTGATTGGTAAAGTCATTTGCTCAAGTAGCTGCAATTTCAGAACTTTAATTACACATACTAATCTATGATTTTCTCTCACTCTTTAGCTTTGACGATCCTGGTCCACATGGAATCGGTAGGCATATGGATCACATGTTGCCCGAAATTCCCAAAGGAGATTTTAGAAAAGGTTCACAGGTATGACAATGCACCATTTGGCTTTACTACTGATGAATTGGTATCAACTAGTATTAATATGCATGAGAGAGTTATTCATCTGCATATTCTCAAGTGACAAAAATATGCATGAAAATTTGATGGTCTAAGTCAGAAATATCTCTCTGTATCCTTGCAATGGTTCTCCATGACGCGTCAGCATGCTGTCATGACTATGGCAGACAGTCTATACTACTCAAAGTTTCGTGACTACTGTGGGCTGAGTATGACATTACCGTCACAATCACATGTTTCTTACTTTCTTTACTCGATTGTAGACGTTAATAGGAAGGTTCTTGTTATTTTCTGCAGCCAGGTGTAGAGACTAACAAGAACTGCATGCTGATGAACACTACCTGCCAACATTCTTCAATGTGAGAATATGTTCTGACTCTTTTAGCTTAAAAGAAAATGTTTCACTCTTTTGTACTTTCTTTATCTATAATCTAATACTTTGGTGTGATATATCTCTCAGATGCTTGACCTTGGTGGCATTGCTAATTGGACTCTTACATATGTTGATTGGTCTGAGGGAAAGTGGCACCCAAGAACATTCATGCGTGAACATGTCACACATGAGTTACTTAAAAACCTCACGGTATTGGTCTCTTCAAATTATTCACTGACTATTCCTTTGTTTCATAGCAGTCTCAAATAAATTTTTCTGTTCAAAAAAATAATTAATGATATATTTATGATTTAATGAAAAAAATTTAAAAGTTAATAACTATGTTTGATATTTCTTTAAAAATCATAAGTTATAATCTAGCAATATATCTGATTTTTTTTTTAAAGATATCATAATTTATCTATATATATATATATATTTTTTTTTATATTTTTTTTTTAATATTTGGAACTCTTTTCAACCATTCCACTTACACATGCTATTAGACGGCCCTAATTTCCTTGCTTCCATTAAAATATGTAAATTGATATACCTTTTGCAGCCCATCAACGCTGTTTCACGCGTAACAAGTGAAGGAACGGTAAACGCTTTAAAACCAATTCATCTTCACTTGTAATCAGTTCTACATGTACCGTTTTTTTCTCTTTACCGAGATTATAATGCGATTTGTTACACAGGGAATAGTAACATGGACACAATACATGTGGAACGGAATCAAAAGACCTTGCTATCTCTTTGGAAGAAAGTTCCACGCAGATACTCTGGATAAACTGATGGATCTCTTTCCAAAATACACGAGTGGTTTTGATTGATCGATGCAAAGCAAATGAGGTATTATTTTGACTCGGATTCTTTGACCAACGTCCCATTACATTCTAAGGAACCAAATTTTAAACTTTGAGGATCCCCTAGAAGATGTAACTCGCTGCAAAGTCCCCTTGAGAGCATAGAAAAAGCGTTGTGATCTTGAGAAAGTGTTTTGAGGGTTTTTCATTTGGTTGGGGACGTTGAGACATTTTTAACTAAACTGTTTACCATTGTTAATCTTTTCTGAGTGATTTTAGTTTCTCCTTTTGTTCAAATTGCTATCAGGCATTTTCCTTTTCACTCAAGAAAACTCGTCCATTACTAGGACGGGTTTTCCTCGTTCGTTCCTAGTAAATGGCCTTTTACTAGGAACTTACGAGAAAACGCGTTTCCTCGAAACACGTTCATCGTAAAGCCATTTTTCTCGTAAGGTCGTAGCGAATTTACGAGGAAAGCTTTCCTCGTAAAGGCGTGGTAATATTTTCCTCGTAAGGTCCTCGAAAGCTTTCCTCGTAAGCTAGTAGTAAACATTTCCTCGTAAGGTCGTAGTGAAACATTACGAGGAAATAACTAGAACTTTTTACGAGGATATTACTTGGAATATTTTACGAGGATTTTGCTTGGAAATGGTTTTTTCCTATTAAAAAAATAATTACAAATAATTAATTAATTTTTTTTTTAAAAAAAAAATCAAATTATAAATAAAAATAAAAAAACAAAACATTTTATAAATAACTAGATAATATACAATAAGTTTTTAAATTCATAATATACAAATAAAAATAAAAGAAACTACGGATGCTGGTCGTGAAATTGCTGACTGAACAAAACGTCGTCCTGGCTCGGCAAATCCTCTCCATAGTTGGTTGCCGGCTGTGACTGTGATGGCGGAGGATGTTGGGTAATTGGAATCCCTGCACGTTCCCGTCTCTGACGCAACAGCTCCTGCACTTGCGGGTTTCCAACCGCCATAATGTCGAGGATATTGGTGACAGAAGTGAGATCATCGGTGAGCGAAGTCACTTGAGACTGCGTCGCCTCCAACTGCGAGCGCAGCTGATCATTGACATCGTGCTGCTCCTGATGATAAGACGATGTCGCTGC